TATCTGAGTTAAATTCCTGGAACTCACATGGTAGAAGGAGAATACTGACTCCTGAAAGACATTCTTTGGCCCCCTTCAAGCACAACGTAGCACACATGTGCCTGCACTTGTGTATAAATGCTCACATACTATCGTAATACACATAATAATAAATGCAAATTAAAAATGTTTAAACAGTGAGAGTCAGTGAAAATGATACAAGCTGCAAACTGTGAAGTTCTCCAAAATGCCACCAAGAATATGAGGGCATTTGGAATGAGGAGACCTAGGGCATTTATCCACAGCTACTGATATCATACCAAATAATTTAGGTGGCACAGGGAATAGAATTGCAGACTTACATATATGTATGTATTTGAAGAAGACCCCTAGCACACAGCACATTAGACTGCATTCCCATGTCATATTTACAGGACAGAGGCTTTCTTGGCAGGAACATGAATGGTTTTATGATCTCCAAGACTTAAACCACCAGGGGAGGGTGGTAGCGTGGAGGCTCTCGCATCTCTAAGGGGTTGGAGTCATTATTTCACCAACTTCTCCATGTTTACTCCCATCTTGGCACAAGTCACCCACCCAAGGTTCTGTAAAAGGAGAGTCACCTTATAGGCTCAAGACTACTGAGAGGAGGCGGGGGTCACTTAAGGGGTGTGACTGACTCTGCAGTTCCAGGACAAGGTGTCTTCATGGTCATCTGATGTCATCTAAGATGGGAAAGCATGGAGAGGAAATCTAAACTGACATCCCCGTTGTTCACATGAAAAGACAAATCGATGCTCTCACCGAGGTGTGCCTCAGTCTGTGGTCTCACGGTCAAGCATGGGGTCAGAACTGACATGGAACTGTGGGCTTTGATTATGCAGTATTCTGTTGCTTTGCCAACTGAACAAAGATGCTGTGGGTACCAGGCACAGCCACACATCCCTTCTTTCAACATGTACTCGGCTTGCCTCTTACAAGGGAGGCTCTGTCCTCAGCATTGGAAGCAAGTGACGGCAGAGATAAGGCTCTGCTTTCCTGAGCTTCTGTTGTGGGGAGGGAGATGAGCTGATACAGTAATGAACAGGCAAGAAAGCAGATAGTGCCAGTGTTACAGACTACGAGAGAAAGCAAGCCACGTGGTTATGATGTTTGCATCCCCTCTAAGATTTAGGTTGAAACTTCGTCTCCAATTCAGCAGCATGGAAAGAGTTAGCGGTTTAGAAAGTGATTTCAACATCAGGGAGGGGCTTAGCACCTCTTTAATGGACTTGAGGAGATGAACTCATCCTCCTGTCTAGGAGAGAGCAGGGCATTGGTCCCTCTGGAGGGAAAGCATTTGAGACACCACTTGGAAGTGAAAGCTGAACCCTCTTTGGACACCACAGGCACAAATGCCTTGATCTTGGCCTCCCAGCCTTTGGAACAAAGAAATAAATTTTTGTACTTTATAAATTACCCAGTGTCAGGTATTTGGTTAGCATAACGGAAGTGGACTAAAACCATCAGACACAGTTCTGCTGTTCTAATAGGATGGATACCACGAAAGATTGATTTAGAAGTGGGCAGATCTGCATCCTTTTTTGTTGTTGCTTTTGTGTTGTGTTTTTTTTTTCAAGGAAATAAGAGGTGAGACCCACTTTTATGTCATAAACACGCACTTTAGCAGAATGTGGTGGCACATGCCTGCAATCCTAGCATGAGGCAGGTGGATGCAGGAGGACCTCTGTTGGAGCCCTCCTGAGGGAGACCCCAGAGATGCCCGAGTGATGCATTATCAAGCATGACTCCAGGATAAGCCCCATCTCAATCATCGACCCGATCAGTCTGCTGCCAGACAATTACCCAACATGACTAACTGGAATTATTGGTCCAGGTCATCAAACCTGACCTAACAGATGCCCTGCTCTAAGAAGTGGAGTCGGCACTGTCTGCTCATGGGAGAAATTTTGTTCAAGATTGAGTCAGTTACGCTGGGGCCACAGTTGTTATCTTGGGCATGATGCTGTGGGCCCCGCCCCTCAGCTGAGGGACTTCAGCACAAAGGGTTGAGCTTCTGGTGTTAACCCAGGCACTTTGTGGGGGGAAGGGCAAAGCCATCACTGTGTCCAAAGACAATCTGTATACATTTGCCACAGCCCATGTCCACAGAGCCCTCTCTAGAGAGAGGGGACTCCTCACCTCAGCTACAATGGAAATAGAAAGCAAAGCAGAAATTCTGATGCTTCTGGAGACTATATGACTGCCAAGAGAGGTAGCTGTTGTTCACTATAGTGTTCTGTTGCAGAGTATCAGAAAGGGAATTTCCAGAAGAGACCTGAGGGAACAGGGCAAGGCTTGGAGGCCCAGAAGGCAGCCCTGGAACCAACGAACCCTCTCCAGATACCCTCCCTGAACCTGAACCAGCATCCAACCTGTACACAGGAAGAAGCCAACTGGATGGAAAAGGGAAGACGCCAAACAGGAGGCCAACGGGTTGTGGTTCTTGCCAGGCAGGAGACCAACACTCCCTGCAGCTATTGGAACGGTCACCACACTCCACCAGGACACCCACATGGGGGTAACTAAAACTGCTGGGCTGTTCAGCTTCAGATATTACATCTCTCAAGTAGACAATTGTATCAAGGACACCGTGTCCTGAGGGCCACCTGTGTACAAAAGGAACCCAACAGAGATGGGGAAAACCCTGGAAGGAATCTATGCCTGAGGAATCATACCTGGAAAACAGGGGCGTGGATTTACAGAGATCAAACCCCTGGTTCTTAGATACAATTATTTGTTAGTGTTCATAGATACCTTCTAAGGTGGAAACCCGCTCCACCTTAATGGAGACAGCTTCAATAGTCACCACGAAAGTTTTCCAAGAGTTAATTCCTAGATTTGGTGTGCCCCCTTCCTGGGGCCAAACAATAGCCTGGCCTTCATGGCCAAAGTTTCCCTAAAGCTAACAAAGGTTCTAAATGTTTGTTGGAAACTACATGGTATCTACAGGAGGTTACAAAGCTTAGGACAGGTAAAAAAGGGTGACTAGAAAGGGAGCTTTAACATATCCTTGAGACCGGTTCCGGTGAAAACTGGGCCAACCTCCTACCCTTTGCCCTCCTAAGGGCCTGGTGCACCCATATGAAAAGGTTCATTAAGCTAAAATGACTAGCCATCCTTTCCTATAGCCCTTACAGGCCCTGGCACAGGCCCAGAGGGCTATTTATCAGAGAGTTCAAGAGGCTTCATCCTTGCCCGTGTCTGAGCCTGCCCACAAGTTTGAGCCTGGGTTCCTTGTGTGGGTAGAGAGGATCTGAACCCAGAACTTGGAGTCAACCTCGAAAGGCCCATACCCTGTGGTCCTCAGCACCAAGGGAAGGCACCAAGGGTGCCTGTTTAATGTCACCAACATTCCCTGAGAGAGTTTCCCCATGCAGATTCCTCTAGCCATACACAACAGGCGAATTCCAGAAGTGGTGGGCATGTGTATTTCCAGACCCCAGAGACTACCTGGCACACATGGAAACGTGTGCTGATGTGAAATTTGCAAGAAAGGCAGACACACACAGATAAGGAATAGTTTGGCAGGTTCTTTAAGGCTGCGTGGGCTTTGGTAGGAAAAGCTGTGACTGTCAGCGGGCAGGAGGCTTTTTCTCTGAAGGAGAAGTGTTTTAATGTTGATGGTGGTGATGGCTGTGTAAGTCTAAGTGTATGGAAATGGTTGTGTACTTACACAGCATGTGATGTGCATCTCAGTGCTGGACTAGCAGAGGGAGACAGGAGCCTGGATCCTGGCCTTGGTCATTGCATGCTACCAAAGCAACATAGCACGGGCTGGACGGATCAAACAGCGGAAGTTGCTTTCTCAGAGACCTCAAGGCCTGCAAGGTCAAGACCAAAGTGCTGGTCAGTACAGGACCTGCGGGGGGGGGGCTCTCTGTCTGACTCTCAACTTCTCTTTGTCCTCACATGGCCTTTAATCTCTGTTCATGGGGAAGGGATATCTCTTTATCATCTTTTCCCATAACCATCCCTGTGAGAACAGGGCCCCATCCTTGTAACCTCATCTAGCACCAGATACTTACTAAACCCTGTCTCCAATACTGTCATTCATAGGGGAAAAATCCGTATAATCTGTATGTCTCTGGGAGAGCAGCCCGACAGAGCAAGGCCAGGAGGGATGGGGTGGGGTGTTTAAGGCACAATGAACTTGAGGCTACCGTTCTAAGAGTCAAAAACCCATAGCAGATGAGGCTAAGCACTAGATTGTATCCCCACATTTTATGTGACTGTATTTTGAGGTTTCTTTGTTGTTGTTTTCTATTATTTTGAGACTAGGTTTCTTTGTGTAGCCCTAACTGTTCTGGAACTCAATCTGTAGGTCAGGCTGGCCTCAAACTCGCAGAGACCCTCCTGCCTCTGCCTCCCGAGTATTGGAATAAAGATGTGATTCAGTTAAGATGAGGACATATTGGGAGGATCCTAATCTATACTCCCTGGTATTCTATTAATAAGAAGTTTAGACACTTAAAGAAATGCCAGGTACTCCTGACTACAAAACAAAGAGCATATGAGGTCACGGTGACAAAGTGGCCAAGGAGGCCGGCCTCAGGAGCTACCTGCCAATGCCTTGACCTTGGACTTCCAGCTTCCAGCAATGTAAGGAAATACACACACACACACACACACACACACACACACACACACACACACACAC